TAAAATGATTTTATTTCAATTACAACAATTGAAAAATAGTAGAAATCCATTCAATTAAATTGAAATAAAATAAGTAGAAATGTTTGTGTCATAATTAAATTGAAATATAATTAATACTTATAATGTTTTATAATTAAAACAAACAAAACATTAAGAAATAAGCAAATTAATTTATTATGCATCACATCCTATATCATTTATTATATTTGGTGTTGATTTAAAACATTATAAAAATACAATGAAATACTTTTAATTAAGTAACAATCAATTGTATCAAAATAATGGATGAAATATAAACATATATTACTAAAAGTGAATTTAAAATTAATGAATAGAAATGAGAAAATAAAATGAATGATTGTGTTAATACTCTCTTTATTATTTATTCTCTTTTATTTTTGATTTTCTTATTTATTCTTTACATTTGTTTATATCATTTTTATATTGCAACTTAAATATTCTTGTTTATTTGATTTATGTTTATTTCTGATTCTATTAGTTATTTTAATAGTAACATTTCTAAAATACTACCAACTATCTTCATATCTATTTTTGTATTAGTTTTTACATTCCATTATAAATGTTTTGGATTTATAACATTACATTAAATTTATTTGTTTTCTTTTTTTGAGTTTAAAATACAATTTTATAATCATTATTATTCTTTTAGAATTTTATATGTGTTTGTATTTGTATTAATTCTTATTTTCTATATTATCATATTTCTGTTTAATTCTTATTCATCATTTCGTTAATACTTCTTTCTATTTCTATTTTATTTGTTTCTTCTTTGTTTATTAATTATTATTACTTTCTCACTATTTATTTAGTTTAGTATTCTTTTATTATTTAATTAAATAATATTGTTTGGTTATTTGTTATTGTGTAATTAATATCATCTTTGTATCCTTATTCATTTTTTATTATCTTTATCAATAATCATGAATATTAAGTAATAAAAGAAATGAATGAATATAAAATAAAGTCACAATAATAATTAGATAATAATATAATGAATATGAATATAATTTAAAAGAAGTTGTGAATAAATATAATTTTATTATTTTTCTTATATTCATTATATTTCATTATTTATCTTGTTTATATTTTGATTATCATTTATTTATTCTATTTTTTACTTCTTGTTTTTCTTATTCATCTTATTTATATACCCCCAAATTAATTAAACAAAAAGAAGTAATTTATTTAAATATTGATTGATGAATAGAATATAATGAGGAGTATAATATTGACAAATAAAATAAATACGAGATTAGTTCATCTTTCAAAACTCTCCAACTTTGACAACAACAAACATGGTTAATGCATGTAAATGCACACAAAGCACTTGTCTACAATAAATAATTTGGTATTACCATCAACTCTATTGTTCATCATCCGTTCTTGGTATTGAACTCTCTTCTATCTTATTTATCTATTTGTGTTTTTCTTTCTATTAAATACTCATATAATTACAAAGTGTCAAATCAATAAAATAATAACAAATAGATAATAAACGTAACATTTGATCATTGATTAATAGAATATTAATCATAACATACATTATTAAAATGAGTAATTTCATTGTTTTATTTATTATTTACATTTTCTTCTTATTTTTTTTTTGAATATATTATTCTTCTTTTGATATTATTCTTTCATATTATCTTATTTCATTCTTTATATTATTAATTAATATATTTCTTATTCAAATACATCATCATAACCATCATAAACAAATAATAAATGATAATTCATTATTTGATTTTGTATTAATGTTTGTATTGTGTTTCAGACATGAAATATCCATTTCTTAATTAACATAAAGAAATAATAGAAAAAAATGAACAAACAAAATTGAATTATAACTTCAAAAATGAAAGAATTGTCAGAAATGACTAGATATTTTATTTTGTTACTTTTTAGATTTTTTGGACCTACTTTTAGCAGGTTTTGCTGGTTTAGATACCTTCTTTGGTTTTGAAACTTTTTTAGGCTTAGATACTTTTTTAGGCTTAGATACTTTTTTAGGTTTTGAAGCTTTTTTAGAAGCTCCTTTTGATTTCTTTCCACCACCCAAGAATTTACCAACTTTTTTACTTGCTTTACTAACAGTATTGGAAGTTTTACTAATAGCCTTACCAATTTTATTTACTTTATTGGCAGCTGAACTAATAGCCTTTCCAAATTTACCTGCTTTACCAGAATATTTACTAACAGTGTTTGCAACTTTAGAAATTGTTTTACCAACTTTACCAGCTTTTTTAGCAATACCTTGAACTTTATTATTAATACCTTTAGCTTTATTAACGAGATTTGAAATTGGATTTCCACCTTTTGAAGATTTACTTCCTTTAGAACTCGAACTACTTGAACTAGTAGAACTACTCGAACTGCTTGAACTACTAGACTTTCCATTCTTTATGTCTTGATACGCCTTAGATGCGGTCGTTGCTACATTCACTACTTTTTGTCCTATTCTTGCACCTTTTTCTACTACTTTTGATACTCCTTGTACAGCTTTAGCACCTGCTGCAATAGCTCCAGCTGCTGCTTTTACTTGTGGAATTGGTACAAATGATGCAACTTTTCCTGCAACACTAGAAACTGTACCAGCTACTTTACCAACAGTTCCTGCAACATCTGCAACCTTACCGAGAGTATTTGAAATAGCTTCTCCATTCTTTGCTAACCATTTAGTTCCTTTGTCAACAGCTCTTCCTATGGCACTTCCAATTGAACTTAATGAAAAGTCATTAAGAAGAAGGTCCATTGATTCATCATCATCAAACAATTCAATGAATGAATCAATGTCTTGCTCGAAATTTTGTGAATCTTCAAAAAGATCAAAATCATGAAAATCAAGTGCATTTACTTGAGTGAAAATAAGACAAAGAGTAACTATCAATGAAAGAAGTGAATTCATTGAATAAATAATACAATATCTTTTCTTAGTTTTTTGTAGTTTAAGAATACCCTCTTAGGCGTCAACATTAGTCAAGTCAGTTATTTATTTTGTCGAATTTATTTTATGTACACTTTTTTTATTTGTCGTCTAAAAGTGTTCTATTTATGACTAATGAGATGAGATGAAGTCGGGTATACACATTCTACCGTCTGTGTTATAAATTATTATAGTTCTTTTAGGTTTATTTTTTTATTCTTTTTTAATTATATTTTGCTACAATAAAAAATCGAAAATTTAAAATAACTTTCCTCAAATAAAAAACTTCTTCTATAGAAAGTTTGGATTATTTTTGATATATATAACATTATATTTGTTCTTCTTAAAATATTTATTAACAAAAAGTTTTTAAATTATTTTTAATTTTAGTTGTTTTGATTCTCTATAAATATAAATTGTCATTCAAATATATTCTATTGTAGTTTTACTTTCATTGAAATTGTTAAAAGAGATGTTAATTTTATGGTAGTAAAGAACAATACCAACATGATTTGTTATTTATATAAAATATTTACAGAATAATCGTATTACGTGTAATATAACAATATAAATATCTTCTTGATGATAAAGAATCTAAAATTTTTGAATTTGAATGTTCAATAATAAGAATATATGAAACAATTTCTTATATAAAGATAACAAGTCATTGAAATAATTATAGAGTAAAATTCCATTTCTTAAAGCAAAAGAAGTTGATTTTTTTTAAATCTATGAAGTTCATCTTATCTAAAAAAGAAACTCACTAAATATAAAAAGAATAAAAGGTATCAAGTAAATTTTCAAAACATAAAAATATTATTTTTTTTAATATTCAATGAATAAAAATCCATTTATTAATTAAACCAGATAATTAAATAAAAACAGATAATTGTAGTGGTATTAAAAAAAATATTTATTAATAACTAATAAATATAATTATAGTTTAATTTTGGACCTATTCTAATAATAAAGTAGATTCTAATAACACTAATTATCAATTATTAAATATAATAATACCTTAAATGTGTTAAAAAAATAATTCTGTTTAAATGGTATTACCACATTAATGATCAAATTAATTAATATCATGAAATAAAATAAATTACAAGGTTATTCAAATTATGTTATATAAAGATAAAATAACTTTGATTCTAAAAAAAAAAGAATAAATTAATTAAAAGAAATAACCTTTTTTAAACTTAATATAATGGTTATTAATAATATAATAATAACAATGTTAGAAGAACTTAAGTTATAATTCTAAAAGAATGTGTAAAGAAAAAAAATTAATATCAAGAGGATATATTAAAAAAGAACAAATACGTTATCTAATAAAAATAAAAATAAAAAAAATAAAAAAATTTAAAAAAATAAAAAAAAAAGGGTTAAAATATAGGGTAAAAAAAGGAGTGATATTCAACAAATTTAAATAAGAAGTTTATGAAGCTTAAAAAACGAGAGAAAGAAAAGAAAATCATTGAAGAAATTGATAAAAAAGATTGGGTTCCTCAAAGAACTGATGTTTTAGATGTAATTACTGAAGTTAACCAAGCAAAAGCATCAGCAGATCCAAATAAACCAACTGACGAAATGTGTGGAGCAAAAGATTTATTAGAGTATTTGTATGCAAAAAATTTTGCACCATTTGAAATTGATGAAAGAGGTATTCCTGATCCAACAAAAATTGTTAAACCATATAAAAGAAGTACAGGAGCAAATATTGAACAACCATGTGATTATAGAACAGAAGAAGCATTAGTTGATTCAATGATGTTTTTATTAAATATTATGGATAATAAACAATATGATAATATTTCTATTGATGAAAAATTTATTTATGTTTCAGATAGAATAAGAGCTATTCATACAGATATTATTCATCAACAATATGTTTCATCATTAATTTTTGATATCTCACATGCTGCAATTATGTTTTATTCATTTTATTCATTTCAAATAAATTGTGATAATTATGACTTTGCAAAAGAACAATTAAAACAATGGATTTTAACATTAAAACATTTATATGAACATGTAGATTCTATTATGAATGAAGAAGAAGTTAATGAAATATTAGAAAGAGAACAATATGATGAAATGGAACGTGTATTATTATTAAGTCCTCTTCAACGAAGTGAAATTATAAATGAAGAAAATTCAGAAATGCTTATTGAATCTTTTAGAGTTGCTGATGCTCTTGAAAAGATGGAATATGGAAAATTAAAAAAAATTATTGACAGTGTATTTCCTGTTTCATTAGAATCAATTGTATTTCATGCATTGTTTAGAATGAGACTTATTGATATGAGACATAGAGTTCTTTCTAGTTGGGCTGGGGTAATGCAATTACCAATTCCAGTATCATATGTTGTTGATGCATTAATGTATGATGACGAAGAAGAATGTATTGCTGACTTAATTTCATGTGGATTAGAAGTAAAAGAAGATAAAACGTTTTTAGCAAAGAAATTTGATTTAAGAGACTGTAAAAGAATTCCAAGAAATATTAGTAAGAAAACACTTAATCAAATCATTAAAGATAAAGAAAAAGAATGTGGAGATATGCCTTGGAGTGAAGTTTTCTTTGGAGAAGAAGAGGATGAGAGTTATGAAGAAGATAAATAAGAGAATAGTTCAGTTCAATATGTTTTATAGTTTTTAATTTTATAAAATGATGTTTTTTAAATAAAAGAAGTTTATTATTTCTATTTAATTTTAAATAATATTGAATTATTCTAATTTAAAGATTTAGTTTTAATAGAATATTTATGTATGTATTTCATATTTTTTAATTATATTGTCAGTTTATTCGTTCAAAAAAGCATTTACTTTTTAAAGTATTTATTAATACTCATTACATCAACTTATATTTTCAATTATTAATACCTTCATATTTGTTATTTTGAGAAAAAAACATTTATCTCAAATAAATATGACTTAAACATTAATTCTTTTTTCTTTCAATTTGTTTTTAATGATTATCTGTTTCAAATTAAGAATAAGTTGTAGGTTAGATAATTTAAAAATCATATTAATGAATGATAAATATTTTTAAAATATCATTTTGTTTAATTAAACGATAGATTTACATAGTTGAATATTGGATTATCATTAAAACAATTAAAAATAATGAAATTCTCAATAAGTGATACTAAATGGATTTACGACATTATTTCATTCAATGCTGAATTTCAATGAATATGAGAAACACTTCATTTACTTTTACTTGTAAAGTAAAAGAAACAAAATATATAAACATTATAAGTTAAAAGATAAAAAAATCAATTTATGTACAGTGAGTATATAAAAATCTTTCTATGTTTGATCAATTAAATTCAAATAATTTCAATACCATTGGTTGAAGTTTATTTTTGTTTTCAAATAAAATACCACCAACAAAGAAATGCTACTAACCTTTACTATTCTTCAATTTATCTAATACAAAAATTGAATTGTTAAAAAAGTTTGTGGTTTCAAAAATAATATAAATTATATGAGTTTTTGATTTTGATTTATTGTTATTTTGTTTAATTGAAGTATTATCTTATTTAATTTCCTTTTGTTAAACCTCAAAACGATTTTTTCATTATTAAAAACATCATTGAAACTGATATAAAATGACAAATTCCAGAACTTATATCCATCAAATCAATGTTATTTTTTGGAAGAGTTATTTCTCAAGAAAAACAAGTTCGACTGACTGAAGTTAATTTTGAAGTAGAGACTGTTGGTAACAATGCTAAAGTTAAATCCATTCACTCAATACTGAATGATTCTAATGATGATTGTAATGTTAGTATCACTATGACATTGGATGATGAATCAGCTGTTACTGGATATTCATTCAAAACAGCTAATGGAGATTTTGAGTCAGAACTAAAAGAAAAAGAACAAGCTAAAATTGAACAAAGTGATGCAACAACAAATGGATATAGTTCAGCTGTAATGGAACAAGTTGATGATACAACATTCAGTATTACACTTGGACTAATCAATAAACATAGTGAAGTAACATTTAGTATTGAATATCTTACACATATGGAGATTCAAGATGACGAGTTAGTAATGAAGATTCCTAACTTGATTGAGTCAGATGAAAAACAACAAATCCCATATTCAATCAAAGTTACAGGAAGTTCCACATTCAGTTTTAAAGGTGTATTAAGTGGAGAAGAGGAAGTTAATATTCCATTAAATGGGGATTTAATACTTGGAATGAAAGACGAAGATACAGATGAAGTTGTCATTTCATCCACATTCATCAATAAAGAAAAAGAAGGAAATATTAATATTGTCTTCATTTGTGATAGAAGTGGAAGTATGTATGGAGAAGGAATCAAAGCATTAAGAAATATGTTACAATTATTCTTAAGACAATTACCACTAAACTCCAAATTTCAGATTATTTCATTTGGAAGTACATATGACTTTATGTTTAAAGAAATGACAGAATATAATGAAGATACATTAAAATTTGCATCAGAAACTGTTTCACATTTTGAAGCAAATTATGGAGGAACAAATATGCATGCACCATTGAAAGCATTGATTGATAATAATACGGAGAAGTGTCATATAATTTTATTAACTGATGGATATGTCGATAATAAGACAAGTACAATTGAATACATTAGAACTCTTTCAAAAAAGAATTCATTACATGGAGTTGGATTAGGAAGCAGTTGTGATGTAGAATTAATTAGAAATATAGGTCGAATTGGTAATGGAATTTCAGCCATTTCTAAAAATCCAAATGTATTGAAGAAAGAAGTTTCAAAAATCACTGAGCGTATTCTCATTCCATCTATTAATGAATGTACAGTTGAATGGAATATTAAAGGAGAGATAACACCAAAAGAAATTAGTAATTTCTATGGAATGACAACATGTTATATTCAATGCAACGAAGAAATTAAAGAAGGACAAAATATCGAAAGTGAAATAAAAGGAAGATGTGGAGAAAAAGAAGTCACATACAAGAATACAAAAAGCATTAACATAACAAAAGGAATTATTGTTCATCAATTAATGGCACTTAATCAAATCAGAAAATTAGAAAGTGAAAACAAAAAAGAAGAAGCAAAAAAATTATCAATGAAATATCATGTTCTTTGTAAAGAAACAGCATTTATTGCTGTTGACAAAACAACCAAAAAAGAAGTTGACTTTATCAAGAATATTAAATTATCAGAAATAAGCCATACCTCCAATGTCTTTTACAACTCTTTAACTCCACTATATAAAATAGCAGCGGCAGTAACAGGATCTATTGCAGCTGTTATTGGTGTTGGTGCTATTGGTGTTGGTGCTGGTGCTATTGGTTGTGGTGCTGTTGGTTGTGGTGCTGTTGGTTGTGCATGTCCACCACCACCTCCTGGTAATTCTTCAATAGTTATGGGTCAAGAGGAAAATTTACAACAACAAGAAAGTGCAAAGGAATCATTATTTGAAAAGATTGTCAAATGTCAAAAAGCAACAGGAGAATTTGTAGGAGTTGATACATTCATTAAAGAAATAGGTAAATTTAAAAACATTCAATTTGACCAAACCATTGTTCAAACATTCTTTGTGGTTCAATTGCTGCACGAGAAATTTATAGAAAATAAAATTGAATGGAAATTACTTGTGAAGAAAGCGGAGAAATGGTTAGCAACGAAATTGCCACTTCCTGAAGAAATAAAAGCACAAATTATTTCATTAGCAAAATCAATTATTTTAAAATAAAGAATAATTTCAAAAGAAATAAAGTAATGAAAAAGAATAAAAAGCAGTGAATTAAAATTAATTCTTTACTCTTGGTTCTGTCTTTAAAGATTTCTCATATTTTAATTTCTCATCTGTGAGAATTCCATCATCAAAATAATAATTTTTAATGAAACAAATAATCTGTGGAATAGCAACAATATCATATTTTGTATCTTTAAAACGTATTACATTATTAATACACTCAAATAATCTTAATTTCTTATCCACATTAATTTTATCACCAGCCATATCAAGATTTCCATCATCCAAAAAAGTGTAATCTGTAAGATATGTTCCAATAAATGGAAGACATGGTGTTGTAAAAATGTCTTTAACTTCATTTCTAAATCCTCCAAAATTTCTTTGGAATAACCCACTTAATCGATCAAACTCTGCTTTATTTGGGTCTTGATTCACAACTTCCCATGTTCTTTTCATTCTGAAAATAGCAGCATCTCCTAATGATCCTGTTAATGAATATAATAAATCATAATTTTTAATTGCATGTGCTTTAATACCTAATGATAGAATCTTTTTTACTAATGTAATTCTTTCTTCAAGACTTTCTGTATTTAATATCATATTAACAAAGAAACTAGAAATGAAATTGAACATTTGTGTTGATGCTATAATATTTGGTGCTTTATGTCTTAATTTAGCTTTAGCCCATGCCTGTCCAAAGAATTCACTTGGTTCTAATTTATAAAAGATTGATGCTTCCATATATGTAAATTGTGATACAATTACATCATCATCTATATCAATAAATTTAACTTTTGGAATTAATTTATCAAATAAATTCTTCATTTTGTCTGGTTGTGGTAATTGTTCTTTAGTATCAGTACTTTCATCTAATCTTAATGGTGAAATTATACAACTTTGTTTAATTAATGGATTAAATCCTTTTGTCTTATGATCCATTTCAATTGAATTTTTCAATGTTCCAATTTTACCTTTTATCACAGCTGCAACAGCTCCTTCAACAACTTTAAGATGTTCTTCCATCAATCGAATTAATCCTTTCTTTACAGTAACATCATAACTAACAGCAAATGAATCAATCCATGTTTTAATAACACCAGCAACTTTTGAACTAATAGCAGCTTTATATTGATCTTTTGGTGCTTTATTTTCAGGTTCAAAATCTTCAGGAATATCTAATCGTTCCATCAATTTAAGGAAGAACTTATCTGGTGTAGTAATAGTAGTTAAAAACATACAAATAGCTTTAACAAAAATACCTGCACGAGAACCAAAAGCAGTTAATTTAAAGACAATAGTATTTAAATTCATATTCTTTTCTGATGCATCTTCAAGAGTAACATCAGGAAATTCTGTTCCTTTAAGACGTAATACTTCAGGATCTTCATATAACTTCATAGAATCATCTGATTCTTGAACTAATGAATTTAATCCAATAGATTTAAAATGTTCATTAGCAGATTCTGTAGAAGTGTGTTTATCTTCAACAATATAATCATATACCATATCACTATTATGAATTGAATTATAAAGTGAATATAATAATACACTTTTATTTAAATTATGTTTAGGTGTTTTTATACCACTTTCTATTTCAAGTATTTTTCTACTTTCATTATATCCTTTTACATGTAAATGTTGTAAAATAATTCGAATCATTTGTTCTTTATTTATTTTATCTTTAACTTTTTGAACTCCTGGATTTAATTCTTTAACCAATGCTGTTGTACGTTGAAGAGGATAAACAATTTCTCTAACCCTTTGAAGTACTGGAAGGTCTTGATAAATTTTTTCTTTCCAATCTGCATGTTGTCCATCGAGATATTGGTCAGGGTATTTAATGCTTTTAATATTTGTGTCTTCTGATGGATCAACATAAAATTTATCACTTTGCAAATTACCTAATATTTCTTCAACTTTTTTCATTTCAATAGTTGGATAAATTCCTGGTGTTTTTGTATGACTTGAATAATGTGATGACCCATCATGTGATCCATTATAACTTCCTTCTGGTGTTGTAATTCGTTCACTCGATGCATTACTTCCAAATGATGCTTGTGGAAGGTGTGGAATTGATTTCTTATAAGATGCATTATAAGAAGCTGACCCTATTTTAACTGCTGGACTTACAGTTGGTGATAATGGAACTTCAATGTTTGGTGTTTTAGAAAGAGGTCCAGTTAAAGGAGGAACTTCAGTGGATTGCATAAGTCCTGATGGCTTCAATGGAGGTTGTGCTGCTGTATTAGAACCAAAGACATTTTGATTTTTAAATGATCTTCTTCCAATTCTAACACCTTCAGACAATCCATTTGGTAAAGAATTTGGCATAGATGGTTGACTCATTATTATTGATCTGAATATTACTTGAACTTAAAATCTTATTTCCAAAAAAACAAAAAATCTATTTTCAGTATTATTATTTTAAAAATACTTTGAATCTAACTTATCATAGATACTCTTTGTCAAATAATAATATTTTTATTCTCCTATAATAGAGAATAAATAATAACTCTTATCCAAATAGTTTTATTCATTTTGCATATAAAAATTAAAAAGGTTTAAATTAAGTCATAAAAACTCTTTAATACAATTGAAATTGAAGAAACACAAATTGTTTATTGTATAGTTTTTTATATACTCTTCAAAACTATCAAATTATTAAAAATATTATAGAATAGTATAAATATATTTCATTTTATAAATATTCTATCAAATAATCAGCAAGTTAATATAGTATTTTCAAGAAACATTTTCATGCCTTGAAATAATAAAAGTATTTAATGGATAGATGTTTATAATAATCAATAAATTGTGAGAATTGTTATGATTATTATAAACATTCAAGATGAAAAGAATATACATGTTTCTATCCTTAAAGACATAAATAATTAACTAAAAATAAGAAAGTCTGCTTAATGGAATGAAATGTATTATATCAATTGCAGAGGTTGTTTTGGATGAGAGACAGAATATTCCATATCAAAACCAATGTTTTATAAAAAAACTAGTCATCAAAAATCAACACATATTGTTGTTGAATGTACAAAAAAGTTTCAGTTAATAAGATTGTACTGATTGTACTGATGAATAATATTTAAAAAAAACATGTGAATGTTGTCTTCATAAATCAGGTTATCTAACTTACCAATCAATTAACGTTGGAACTTATGTAGTAATGGAATAGTTTTATTTAATAGAATATGAAAATTATATCTTAAACCCAATCGTTGCAAAGAAATGTATCATATCAATAAAGAAGAAGAATCACAAAAACAATAAGTTAAGTGTGTTATTGTATTAACATTATTAGTACTAATTATAACACTTCTTTGTAATAAAAAATAGAATGAACAAAAATACATGAAACAGAATTAGAAGACAATACGTTTGATGAAAAGTGTCTTATCACATCATTTATTAAATGATGATAAAACATTTGTCAATGAAATATATAAAATATGTTTTTGAATTAGTAATAGAGAAATAAATAAGAAGAAACTGAAAATGGTATATTAATTTCAATAAGCAATAAAGGAAGGAAAAAAGTAATTATTGCTTTTCAACTCATCACAATAAGACAAGTTCAAATTCAAAAATGAAAAAGAAGTGTACAAGTACAACAAAGAACTGTATATGAATTTAGAAATAAATAATAATTCATATACAAGTAGAATAGAATAAAATTCTTTAAGTATTTTAAATAGAAGAGGAAAAGTAACTGTAGAAGAATTAATTCCAATCAAAATTGAAAAAGAAATAACTAACAAAGCAAGACATAGATGAGTTTATAACAAAATATTTGAAATTGGTCTATTCTTTAGAAATTTATTATAGAATAGAATTACTTATTGAATCTTTTTATAAATATTAAAAATAAAGCAATTAAATTATAATTTAATAATTTCTTTAAATAACTTTCTTATTTATTAATTAAAATGTTGTGGATTATTTTTCTTTATAATTGTAAAAAAGATGAAAAAGCAGGATTAATCCCCCTATTCAAGTACAATAGAAACAAGTTATATTAACACAAAACTAATTGCTTAATAGTTTGAAAGAAGATATATTATTGATTCTTTTATAACCTTTTTTGTTTTTTAGGAAAAATGCTATTTGTTATTTCATTTTTATTATTGGTTTTTAAATTCTCTTCTTCATTTACTTATAGAAACAAAACGTTGCTTCTACTCTTTTTGTTAGTCATAATTTAGGTTTGTTTATTAACCAACAGATATTAAAATCTTAAGTGGTTATTCATGAATGCGTTGCTTCATTAAAGTGCTATACTTTTTAGATGAAGTTAATTATTATTTCCTAAAACAAGTAAATGTTGTTCATTATAAATTATTAATTTATATTTTACTTATCAAATAAAAAAGAAAAATGTTAGTTGAACATTAAATTTGTTATTCTTAATTAGTTCAGTGGAACATCTCGTTGTTCTCTTGTCCATCCTGGATGTTCTGAAACTTTTCTGATAATTCTTGCAGGATTGCCAGCAACAACTGTATTATCTGGAACATCATGAGTAACTACAGAAGCAGCACCTACAACTGAATTTTCTCCAATTGTAATTCCTGGAAGAATAGTTGCACCTGCACCAATCCAAGCACCATCTTTAATTACAATAGGTAATCCATATTCAACAAGAGAATTTCTAATAAGTGGATCAGTTGGATGAGTAGCTGCAATGAGTTGGACATTAGGACCAATCAAGACATGATTACCAATTTTAACGTAATTAGCATCTAGTACTGTTAAATTATAATTAACAAATGTATCATGTCCAACAGAAATGTATTTACCATAATCACAACGAAATGGTGGAAGTATACAACTATTTTCTCCAAGACTTCCAACAATATCCTTCAACATTTCTAATCTCTTTTGTGCATTTCTTTCACAATTAAAATCAATAATTTTTTCACAACAAGACTCTCTGTCATGAGCTAACTCTGGGACTGTACTATCATATAACTTTCCATTAAGCATTAAACTTCTTTCATCAAATGTAGGTGTTGCCATCGTTATTTTGAATTTTACAATTTTGGTAATTCTATTTTTTTTTTAAAAAGAGTCAGAATTTTTGTTCTTTCTTCATTATTTTCTTATCAAACAAAATATAATTGATGATTATTACTAAAAACCCAACACACAATAATAACAATTTATATAAATCTTCTGAATTTTCATTATATTCAACAACATAACAATATCAATTGAAAACAACTTCCTTAGTTTATGAACTAAATCAATTGTTTTCACTAAAACTATTAACGACATACGTCATGATATTGATGAGTTGAGACAAAAAAATAATCGAAAAATAATTGGAAAATGATATATTGTAATTAATTAATCATCACTTTCTTCTTCGTCACTCATTTCTTCACTCATTTCTTCTTCTTCATTTTGATTTGTTTGTTGTGGGTTATTGTTCTTTCTAACAGGACGAGGAATTACAGTAAATTTAATTGGATATGCCCATTCGCAATGAAGATATGAGTCACAAATAATATGTAATAATACAACATATGACCCTTCTTCTTTAGGAGAAGGAAGATAAATTTTTGTGATAAATGGCAATTCAGAAATAGGAATATATCCGTGTGTAGCATTAAGAACAAATTGATTTCTTACATCAGTAATAATAAACCACCAACGCTCTAATCTGGTATTAGGACAATATGGGTTATGAACATAAACATCTTTTGGTGGTTCATGAACAATTTCCACATCTGGAATTTCTGGATCAATTTCATCTTCTTCTTTATCAAAATCTTCTTTAGTACTTTTGAGAAGTTCTTCAGCATCATCTGGTAATTCTTCTTTTTCTCTATTAAGAATATCATCTAATTTACTCTTCCATTGTGGGACAATTTCACCATTTTCGTTTCTAGGATAACGATATCCATTAATAGTAACAAGAATAGGCACTCCTGCAATTACTTTTCTTGTTCCAGTAATGCTCATTGCTCTAACAATAAATGTGATATTAGTAGGATAATAATTAAAGAAGTTAATAATTTGTTTTCTTCTTTCATTAACTAATTGATTGTCATTAGGCTTAATATTTTCTTCAATACTATTTTCATGTTTCTCAATATTTTCTTGTATCTCTTTTGTTTTATGTTCATCAGTATCTTTAGTATTAAATTTTGGTTTTTTTCCTTCTTTAATGGCTTTTTCATCTAATGCTCTTTTAACTCTTTCTTTCATACTTTCTATATTTCTTTTCTTAACTTCACTTCGTTGTTTTTTTGGTTCAATAACCTTATGTTGTTTTTCTACTTCAATACTATCAATCTTTTCATTAATTAAATTCATTCGCTCTTCTGGAGTCATCTTTGTGATACGTTCAAATGTCATATTCTTTCCAAAGACTTTTCCACCTTCATTAAAGTCTGGTAACTGTAAGAAATCATCATTCTCTCCACATGCTTGAGTAATCATAGCATTTAATCTAATACATTGCCAAATTCCATTTAAATTTTTCTTTCCCATCATTACAGATAC